CTGTCTGTGTGTATGCGTGGTTTAGCCTGTTTTTTTTGTGTCTTTTTATTTTTTGTGTGTTTTTTGTCTGACTGGCCTGGCTGGCTGCCTGGCTGGCCTGGCAGCCTGTCTGTGTGTGTGTGTGTGTGTGTGTGTGTGTGTGTCTGTCTGTCTGTCTGGCTGTCTGTCTGTCTGTCTGGCTGGCTGTCTAAAACTGTGTGTGGGGGGGGGGGCGTGTGTGTCTATAACTGTGTGCGCGCGCGCTGATGTGTGTTCGCTGCTTGTCAACTTGACTACCCACGATTGCATCGTCACACTGCACATGCAACACTCAACTCGCTCCCTCTTCCGCCCCGCCCCCCTACACCGTCCCCACCACCAGCACCCACCCCTGTCCCGGCTGCTGATTCGCCTGTGCGGAATTGTCGGCGGTATTGTCGCCGCTTCAGGTCTGCGCTCCTCCTCGTCCCAGTGCCTGCTGCCTTGCGTTGTGTGGGTGCTTTGGTTTGTATGTTTGCTTGCTGCTGGTTCGTCCTGTCTGTTCCATGCCCGCCATTTAGTTCTGTTTGCTTTCTCACTTCCCGACCACTGTCAGAACATCCCTTTTTCCCTCTCACACACGCACGTGCACACACACACACACATGCACGTGCTTTTGTGTTGCTTGCAGGCATGCTGCATTCGTTTATTGGCTGGATTATCAGGACTGTATCGGGCAACAAGACGCCGGCTGTTGCTCCTGCCGCTGCCTCCTAGACTCTCTTTCTCCTCCTGCCCATGTCACCCTTTCATTGGCTGTTATGACGGTTGCCAGTTGTGTGCGTGGTGGGTGGTGCCGCCTTTTCTTCCTTCGGTGAGCCACACCCACAGAAACACAAATAAAAGCCACAACCCAGAGCCAGGGCACCACGCACCACCACTATCGACAACCATCTTGCTGTGCGCACCAAACTTGCCAATCTTCAATCAAGCGTGCACCACCACCACCAGCACGACCAGCTTCCGCCCACCTCAACCGACCAGCCAACCAACAACCCAACCAACCCCTGAAGCAATCGGCCCATCAGTGTCGATCATGTCGTGCTGGACTGGAGAGCCGTCGCCATGTCCACGCGTCGCGTGCCGGGAAACACTGCACCCAGCACGGCCGGTGCTGTCGCCCCTGTCACAGCGGGCACGTTCGCCGTGTTGCCGTGCATGGTCTCGTTTGCAAGCACCGCAAACGCAACCGCCTCCCGCGCATCCGTGTCAAAGGCATCCTCTGGTGGTGGTGATTGTGGTGGTCGTGGTGGTGGTCGAGTTGTCGTGGGGATGGCGGCGTGCAAGCGTGAGGCAGTGAGAGGAGGGTGACGGGTTTGTATTGGATGTGAAGGGTGGCAGATCTCGTGGAATAAAACAACCGCGCACAGCACAGTTAGTCACGACATCACGTTGTACTTGCATGTGTGTGTTGTGTGTGCGTGTATGAACAAAACAATACACACACACGCACAGACACACACACACGTCCACACGTACAGACACACACACACACACATGTTCACACGTACAGACACACACACACATACACGTCCACACGTACACACACACACACACACACGTCCACACGTACAGACACACACACGCACGCACCTGATCGCTGCACAACCCGGCATGCATCTGGGAGCTCGCGCTGCAAGTTGGAGATGAGCACGGGGTTGTGTGCGCCGCCGCCAGACACCCACACCTCTGCTATGCTGTGCTGTTTGATGAAGGGGAGGGCTGCATCGCACACTGTGCGCGCCGTAAACGCATTGAGCGTGGCAAGCACATCGTCAGCAGGGATGTCTGGAAACATCTCCAGGAGCCGCGCGAAAAAGGCGGCTCCAAACTCATCGCGGCCTGTCGACTTTGGGGGCGCCTTGTGCAGGAACGGATGGTCAAGCAGCCACGCAAGCAGAGCGGTGTGCACGACCCCGCGAGCAGCTATTGCTCCATTCCTGTCGCACCGCTGTTCATTGTGAGTGAACCTGGCCGCCGCCATATCCATGAGCATGTTGCCTGGGCCCGTATCAAACGCAACGACGTCCGCTGCAGTGGCGTTGGCTGGGAGCACGGTGATGTTGGCAATGCCACCGATGTTGAGCAGCAACCGGCTCTCCACTGCCGAACGGTGCAGGATGAGGTCCACGTACGGCACAAGCGGTGCACCCTGTCCACCTGTGGCAGATGGGGAAGCACAGAAACAAACCCGTGGACACAAACATGGACGTGGTAGCAACAACCAGATGTCAATGCGCGAGTGTCAACGTGTGAGCATTAACGCATGAGACCTGTGTGTGTGTGTGTGTTTGTGTGTGTGTGTGTATATGTGTGTGTGCGTGTGTGTACGTGTGGGTGCGTGTGTGCGTGTGTGTGTTCGTGACGTCAGGCAGAGTGTGTGCATGGAAGATGTATCGGTTACCGATACAAACAAGCTAAGCCATGCAGGCCATGGCAGTGGTAGATTTGCAATGCGCGGGGGGGGGGTTCAAGCAATCAGCTACACTTCCTCCAACTCCCTCTTCTTGTTCGTTGTGGATATGACACAACAAAGAGAAGAAGTAAGGACAAAGCTTCAACGAACCGAGTGCCATGTCTGCGGGCCGAAAGTCTGCCACGGTCCAGCACCCCGTGCGTTGAGCGATGACGAACGGTGATCCAATCTGCAGGGTTGCGTTGTGATCTGGGTCATGGAACACGGTCTGGCCGTGCGATCCAATGAATGCCACGTCGTTCATGTGCTTCCCCGCTTGGCGCACAACCTCGTGGGCAGCAGCGGCAAACGCTTCACCGAGGGCGTTGGAGGCCAGCGTCAGCTCACTGGCCGTGGTGGCATCACCAGCTCCCAGCCGCAGCAGCCGCTGGCGCACGTCAGCCTCCAGCTCGACCTCAATGTATTTCAGCAACCTCACGCTGGTCTCAAACCCAGCGCCTCGAATCTCCACGAGAGCAGCATCAATCGCATCGCAGCTCGTCCCACTCATCAACCCAATACACAGGGTTCCTGCACCACCATCGCTGACAGCACCATGGTTGCTGCCTCCTTCTTTGAATCGGCTCATCAGCGTCTGTTGCTGTCCGAAATTTCATGGATATTGTCTACCATTTTTCAGGACTTGCGACCGCTGATTGTTGCGCCATCACTTGAAGAAAGTGCTGTGGTTCTGCTGTGCTGTTCTACGTGCGAGTGTGATGATGGAGGACGACGATGTCCCACAGCTGGTGGAGGCCGACGACGCTGCGCCTGTCGTTGACGAGGAGGTGTGTGTGTGTGTGTGTGTGTGTGTGTGTGTGTGTGTGTGTGTGTGTTTGTGTGTTGTTGTGTTGTTGTGTGTGCGAGGCGGACAAAGTAATTTACCGGTGTTTTAGTGGTTTTCTGCGCGGTATAATCTGAAGATTTTTAAATTTTGTGCAGTGAGGTGTTACACTTACCGACGTTCTTTCGTGGTGATATAATCTGGAATAGAACGTCAGCTGGAGCGCGTGGGTACAGCAGGAGCGTGTCTGTCTGTGTGTGTGTCTGTGTGTGTCTGTCTGTGTGTCTGTCTGTGTGTGTGTGTGTGTGTGTGTTTGTGTCTCCGTCATCGACTCTCATTCACCACCACCCCACCCCACCCCACCCCCACAAACACCCCCAACCATACACCCCTACACACACGCACACACAAACACCCTACACACACACACATGCCCACATGTTCTCCTTGACAGACTGCACAGCAAGAGATTGAGGAGAAAAAGGCCAAGGCAGTTCCCGTGACCATCCTTACAGGCTATCTTGGTATACAGATCTTGCAAAAACGACTCGACCTCACACACACACACATACACACATGCACGAATCTCCTCGTGCTTGTCTCAGCTTTCACTCGCACACATTCAACACACTTCAACACACACGCACCCTGCTGTGGCTGCCGCTGGGTGATTCACACGCTGTCGGTTGCGGTGTGGTGTCCGTTGCAGGTGCCGGCAAGACCACCCTCCTCAACTACATCCTCACAGAGAACCATGGCCTCAAGATTGCCGTCATTCTGAACGAATTTGGCGAAGGTGTGCACGCGCGACGCATGCGTGTTGAGGCGCCCGAAAACGCTGGAGTATGCTTTTGTTGATGCAAGGCGTGGGGAGAAAAATGTATGTGCTGGCAGGCTCGCGTCTGTGCTCGCCGGCTCACTCATGCAGCACTCGCTCGCTGACCTGCCCCGCCTTGACTAGGGAGTGCCGTGGAGAAGAGCATGTCCATTGGCCAGGACGGTGCCATGTACGAGGAGTGGCTGGAGCTGCGCAACGGGTGCCTGTGCTGCAGCGTGAAGTGAGTCACTGTGCTCTTGCTGTGCAATGACACTCCAATGGCCCGCGCTGCGGTCGAGTGGTCATGCTATTCGTCAAAACGCAAGCTCCAGCGGGCGTGCCTTTCGTCAAAACGCAACCCCCCCCCCCTCTTCCTCCGGCACCGCTCATCGCTGTTCACCATCTCGCCGGTGCGTATTGTGCAGGGACGTGGGCGTCAAGGCCATCGAGAACATGATGAAGAAGAAGGGCCTCTTCGACTATGTTGTCTTGGAAACAACTGGCCTCGCTGACCCAGGTAACATGGCGTGTGTGTGAGTCTGTGGGTCTGCGCGTGTGAGGTTTTGTGTGTGTCTGTCTGAGTGTCTGTCTGTGTGTGCGCGCGCGCGCGTGTGTGTGTGTGTGTGTGTGTGTCTGTGTGTGTGTGTGTGTCTGTGTGCCTGTGTGTGTCCGTGTCTTCAATTCACCTCACGGGCGCTGCCTGACCATATGCTTGTGTACATGCAGGTCCAATTGCGTCCATGTTCTGGCTGGACGACGCCCTCTGTAGCGACGTCAAACTCGACGGTGCGTCACTGCACTTCCTTTATTTTTCTTTGTTCTTTTTTCTTTTTTGTTTTCATTTTTTTGTGTGTGCGTGTGTGTGCGTGTGTTGAAATTGAACCTGTGTTGACCATGCCTCTAACTTCCACTTCTCATCTTGCCCCCAACTCTGCCACTTCATTCCACGTCAACATGTTCAGGGATTGTGACGGTGATTGACAGCAAGTACGGCTTGAAGCAGCTGGGCGAAGAGCGCAGTGATGGGTCCCTCAACGAGGCTGTCAGGTACGTGTGGGTGTGGTGGGTGTGCTGTGCGGGGGGGGACGCTGTGGATGGCTTGGATGGTGTGGATGCTGTGAGTTGTGTGAGTGGCTGCTGCGGATGTGTGCGGAGAAATGTGCACGGGGCTGAGGATGCTGTGAGTTGTGTGAGTGGCTGCTGCGGATGTGCGGAGAAATGTGCACGGGGCTGAGGATGCTGTGAGTTGTGTGAGTGGCTGCTGCGGAGGTGCTGGCAGCAGTACTTCCCACGGTACACTCAAGCTGTGAGCTGTCATGCGCTCGGCGTGCTTTTGCTTGCAGGCAAGTGGCGTTGGCGGACCGGATTGTGCTGAACAAGGTCGACCTTGCCAAGTCTCAGGAGCTGGCAGAGCTCAAGGCGAGCATCCAGGCCATCAACTCAACCGCACTCATCGTCGAAACAAACTACAGCAAGTGAGTAAATGTTAAGGGTGGGGTACGTGTGTGTGTGTGTGTGTGTGTGTGTGTGTGTGTGTGTGTGTGTGTGTGTGTGTGTGTGTGTGTGTGTGTGTGTGTGTGTGTGTGTGCAGGCAAGTATGTGTGCAGGCAAGGAGAGAGTGAGCAGGTTGCTCGTTCTCCTTCCATGCCTCAAGCGACTGTACCACCTCAACCACCCACGTCCCTCTTCCCTCCATCGCCGCGCGCGTCACGACGTTGCAGGGTGGACCTTTCGTTTGTGCTTGGCATCGACGCGTATGACGCTGACGAGCGCTTGGAGGACCTCAAGGCGCAGGCTGTCACCAGCACCCCGCACCTGGACTCATCCGTGCGTAGTGACTCCGTGTGCCTGTGTCTGTGCTTCTGTGTCTGTGTGTGTCTGCGTGTCTGTGTGTGTCTGTGTGTCTGCATGTGTCTGTGTCTGTGTGTGTGTATGTGTGTTTCTGCTTCACGGCTCATCGTTCGACGCTACCGGTGCCGCCCCCCGCCCCCTCTTTGCTTCCTTTGCTCCTTCCCTTTCTACTGCAGGTACGAACGGTGACCATCGCGCTGCCCGGCTGTGTGGACGAAGAGGAGGCGGAGCGCTGGATACAGGACCTGCTGTGGGAACAGCAACTCGACGACAAGCCATGCGTACGTGCACGAGGGTGCTGCGGAGACAGGGAGGCGGTGATGTGAGCGCCGTGTGTCTGTGTGCGTCTGTGTGCGTCTGTGTGTTTGTGTGTCTGTGTGTGTGTGCGTATCTGTGTAGCTGTGTACGTGTGTCTGTGTGGTTGTCAACTGCATGCGGACCACCTTGTATGACGTGCTGTTTCCATTGATTGCGTCATGGCCACGTGGATGCTGCCCATCAGGGTGCCGAGGTGCTGCGCATGAAGGGTGTCCTCTCCATTCGTGGATCAGACAACAGACACATTCTTCAGGCCGTGCGCGAGCTCTACGATAAGGTGTTGTATGCATGTTTGTGGGTGTGTGGGTGCGAGTGTGGTGTGGGTGTGGGTGCGTATGTGCATTTATGTGTTTGTGTCTGTGTCTGTGTGTGTGTCTGTGTCTGTGTCTGTGTCTGTGTGCATGTGCGTGTGATTGTCCTTGACTTGCTTCTCAGAGGGTGCGCGTGTGCTCCTTCGACGTCGCCACCCGCTTGTTGGTGTGCTGCCACTGCGTCAACCTCACCTCACTTTATATTGACAGACTGAGACGACCGAGTGGGGTGATGCCGAACGTGTCAACCGCCTCGTCTTCATCGGTGTGTGTGTCTGTGTGTGTGTGTGTGTGTGTGTGTGTGTGTGTGTGTGTGGTTTTGGTTGCTGTTCTTCGTGCGTTCCCTACCGACCCTCCTTTTGTCTTGTACTCACCCCACTCCCGTTGTTTCGTTTGCCGCTGCTCGTGTGCCCTGTGCAGGTCGCAACTTGCCTGAGGAAGACTTGCGTGCATCGTTTGCGAAGCTTGTCAGCTCAGAATAAACAACCCCTTTGACTTGCGGTTTCATTGTTGACGGGGTTTTTGTTTGCTTGTTGGGAAAGGAGCGGAAACAAGAGAGCAAACCGGTGACACACACACACACACACACATACACACACACACATACACACACACACATACACACACGCACGCACGCACGCACGCACTCACACACACGCGTGTACACATCCACGCATCATGGTGAGCCAGTCTCTATGGCAAGAGTAAAGTCTGGTCTGTCCGCCACAGCATCCTGGATCGCCTTGATGCCAACAGGCGTGATTTTTTCATTCTCATGCAGCCTGTGGAAGTGATGGAGACGCAGAGGTATTGGAAGCGTGGTGGCAAAAAAAAAAAAAAGTGGTGTGGATGGCATAAAGAGAGGAGAGAAGGAATGAGGTGTGGCCCGAAACAAGGAAGGAGTGGGCAATACCAGTCTGCAGGTTGCTAGGATGCAAGAGCAATAATTTCAGTGCTACCTTACTTTGAGGCCATTTGCACTTACGAGAGAGTGTTGATGTTGGGGTTGCTTCCCACCACCGTTGCCAGAGTCCTTGCGCCTTCGTCGTCAATGTCATTGTCAGTGAGGCTGAGACGAAGACGAAGATGTCATGCAAAAGGAGAAAAAGACATGGTCGCATCACAGAGTGTGAGCACTGCGCTTGAAATGCCTCTGATTCGTGGTGCTAGGGCGATATGCAACATCAAGGGGGAACACCATAGGTCTTGGGAAACAAATGGAAGCACGCAGATATTGCACAGCAGGAGGATGGATGTGGAGACGAACGTCAACGTGCAAAGTGTCTCGTGGGCCGTCAGCGTGTCAGCGAGCGCCTTAACGCCGTCGGACGTGATGGCGTTGTTTGTCAAGCTGAACGACGCAACAGTAACACATAGAGGAACGAACAGAGAGGAACGAACAAAGAACGCATGTCACGCGTGAGCAAACGCTTGTGATCGGGAAGAAGCAGCGACGGGATGACCACCGCAAGCGTACAATGCAGCAGTTAAGTGCGTAATGGAGGTAGCGCTGCAGCGATGCTGTGGTGCAATGACATTGTATGGCTGCTGGGGGAAGCAGAACAACGGTTCGTTCGCTTGTTGTGGTTTGAACTGTTGGCAAGAGCAGGAAGAGATGCGGGATAGCTTACTCCAGCCAGTCGATGACCTTGTTCTTCTGAAGGGCCTCTGCCACATATGCCATACCCGCATCGCCGAGCTTTTTCCCGCTCAACCTTGAAGTGAAGTGCAATGTGGAAGTGGAAGGTGGTGGCTGCCAAGTAAGAAATTGTATAAAGGTTCCAACGAGAACGAGGTACAACGCCCTCCACAAGGCGGAAGAAAAGAGAAGAGCAGTTCACACTGCAGCACAAGCGGACAGAGCAGATCCGGCACTCGTGACACGACGCACGAACACTAGCATATCTCCTTCTGCAGCACTACAGGTTGTTTGCACGGGCCAACGCACGCGACGAGAGTGCCGCAGGAATTGTCGGCCACCGACAGCAACAGCTTCTGGGTGTTGAGATCAAGCGCTGCCTGTGTCATGCGCGTCGCAAAGTCTGTCATCTTGAGCTGCTACTGGCTGAAGCGGAGTCACACAAGAAGCAAGAAGAAGTGCAAGAGTGAAGGTAGGACGAGCAAGCAAGCAAGGGAACAATGGCAGCAGCAGTTCTGCTGTGACACAACCAAACCCGCAACTGTCCTTCGCCTCCGAGAGTTTGTTGATGTTTTCAATCAACTTTCCACCGGCGGAAGCGGACTTGGCAACAAGCAAGAAGAGACGCAGACAACCAAAGCGCAGAGCCACAGACGCACGGGGTGAGCTGCTGCTTGTTTTTTTTTCTCCCAGGCACCAGAGACATACGCATGGTTGGCTCGCCCGCTTGCAGCCTTGCGGCTTTGCACAGCCCCACTACCACTGCCGCACGACGCAACGCTAACGGCCACCACGCCAGCATGGTGATGATGCCCAAAGATGATGCGAGCAGCCAGCGATGCAGAAAAATGAACAATGTTTTGCGTAAACAATCGGCACGCGTCAGATGATGCCGGACACAGGTGTGGTGTTGATGTTTGGCTGCTGAGCGTGTGCCGTCTGTTCATTTACCTCCTGCCATCGCTCATGCACACGTGTGCACCTGCTTCTTCTTCGGAGCCACAACAACAACAACAACAACAACAACAACAACAACAACAACAACAACAACAACAACAACAACAACAACAACAACAACAACAACAACAACAACAACAACAACAACACCAAAAGCCAAGACCAAACAGTTGCACGCGAGCACATCACCATGGGTCGCCGTGAGTCGCATGGATGTGTGTGTGTGTTTGGTTTATGTGTGTGTGTGTGTGTGTGTTTGTCTGTATGTCTGTGTGCGTGTGTGCGTGTGTGCATGTGTGCGTGTGCATGTGTGCGTGTGTGCGTGTGTGCGTGTGCATTGATGTGCGCCACGCATGCGCGCATGTGCACACGTAGACGTGCGTGCAGTGCTTGCTTGCCGGTGCTTGGGATCTCACACAGCCGAATGGGTGATGGTGGATTTGCAGGGCGCAGAGATGCCAGGAAGGCTGCCAAGAATGGCGAGAACAGCCAAGGCGGCGAAATTGACAAGAACCAAGCCAAGGAGGCCGAAGACCTGCCTCCTGTGCCATACCTGAGCCTGTATCGCTACGCCGATGGCTTTGTGAGTTAAGCACGTGCATCCGCCACCTGATGTTCTTTTCGTCGTCTTGTCTCTCACTCAACACACCCGCTCACTCACCCACTCACCACACTCACCCGCTCACCCAACACGTTCACCACGCCCATTTACTCACTCAACACGCTCTCCGTGTTCATCGGTGTCTCTTACTCACTCCAGGACTGGTTTCTTGTTATCACGGGATCCATTTGCGCACTGATCCACGGCGCCCTGTCCCCGACATTCGTGGTGTTCATGGGCGATGTAAGTCACGCTTGCGCGAATGTCGGGTGTGTGGATGAACGTGCCAGCATCAATGTGCGCGCATATGTGTAGCGCATGCTCATTGCAGAACTACCAACCGCATACACACGCCAACCAGGTCATTGACAGCTTCAGCGCAACCGCAGATCAGAGCAAGCTGCTGGACAGCGTGGGCGACACAGCGAAGATCATTTTGTACCTGGCGTGTGCTGGCGCAGTGACGGCGTACGTGCAAGTGGCGGCGTTCACGCTGGCCGCTGAGCGCCAGAGCCTGCGCATCCGCAAGCTGTACTTCAAGGCCCTGGTGCGCCAGGAGATGGCCTGGTATGACCAGCAGAAGACCGGCGCCCTCTCCTCCCGCATCTCCAGCGACGTTCCCCAGATCCAAGAGGCGCTAGGTGACAAGGTCGCCAGCTTCCTCCAGTTCCTCGGCATGTTCCTCGGTAAGCAACGCGCTGTGCTTGCGTGCTTGCGGTGTGTGTGTGTGTGTGTGTGTGTGTGTGTGTGTGTGTGTGTGTGTGTGTGTGTGTGTGTGTGTGTGTGTGTGTGTGTGCGTGCGTGCGTGCGTGTGTCGCGCTTGCTCGTGCATGCATGGTTGCATCATGCAGGATGCACTTTGCCAGTATGCATTCAGCTCACCTCACCTTATGACACCTCCCCCTCTCCTCCCTCTCCTCCCTCTCCTCCCTCTCCTTCCTCTCCTCCCCCTCCCACTCTGTCGTCTGCAGCTGGATACGTTGTAGGCTTTGTGTATGGCTGGAAACTGACGCTGGTCACCACGGGCATGGTCCCTCTCATCGCCATTGGTGCGTGTGTTTGTATGTGCGTATGTATCTGCTGTTGTCTGTGCATGTGTGTGTGATCCCTTCATCACAGCATTTCCATCGCATCCCCATTGCATTGCTCTGTTCTTTTTTCGTCTCGTCCGCGCTATTCATGCCATTCACGCTGCCACCACCACCACCACCACCACCATCACCACCACCATCACAACCCACAGGCTCGGCAATCATGGGCAAGTACATTGCACAGGCGTCCTCGGGCGGGCAGGGCTTCTACGCAGCGGCGGGCAGCGTTGCAGATGAAGTGATTCGCATGATCCGCACCGTCATTGCCTTTGACACGCAGGACCGCGAGGTGGAGCGCTACCACAAGGAGCTCGAGGGCGCACGCAAGGCCGGCGAGCGCGGTGGTCTCATCCAGGGCTGTGGTGCGTATTTGGGGGGGGGGTGTTTGTGGGAGTGCATGAGAGAGAGAGAGAGAGTTTGTGTGTGTGTGTGTGTGTGTGTGTGTGTGTGTGTGTGCCATGCAGTGAGCCTCTGAATCGTTTCTTCCTCTCCTGTCCTCACACGACCACCATCACAATCACCACTCACTCCCGACAACATCCTTCCTCGTCATCAACAAAACCACGGCAGGCATGGGCTTCACGTTTATGATGATCTACTTGACCTACGCCGTGACGTTCTGGTTTGGGTCATACCTTGTTGGGGAGGGCGACTTGACGGCTGGGCAGGTGTTGACGGTGTTCTTCTCAGTCATCATCGCAGCCACCTCGATTGGCCAGGCAACGCCCAACATCAAGGTGATGGCTGCTGGCCGCGGTGCTGCGCGCGCCATCTTCGACATCATCGACCGCCCGTCCGAGATTGACTCGCTGTCCGAGGAAGGCACTGTGCCCTCCAAACTCACGGGCCACATCCGCTTCAAGGACGTCGACTTCACCTACCCGACCCGCCCTGACGAGCAGATCCTGCACAAGCTCAACATCGAGGTGAAGCCGCAGGAGACGGTGGCGCTGGTCGGCGCGTCCGGCTGCGGAAAGTCCACGACCGTCGCCATGCTGGAGCGCTTCTACGACCCGACGGCAGGCAGCATTGAGCTCGACGGAACAGACATCCGCAAGCTCAACATCCAGTGGCTGCGGTCACAGATTGGCCTGGTGAGCCAGACCCCGGTGCTGTTCCCCACCACCATCGCAGACAACATTGCGCTTGGCAAGGACGATGCAACAGAGCACGAGGTCCACAGCGCCGCAAGGTGAGGTGGGCAGGGCAGGGCGGGTGTGTTTGTTTTGTTGCTTGTGTTGGGGAGGGGGAACGCGCGAGTGGATGTGTGACGGTTTGTGTGCGTGTGTGCGTGTGTGTGTGTGTGTGTGTGCGTGTGCGTGTGTGTGTGTGTGTGTGTGTGTGTGTGTGTGTGTGTGTGTGTGTGTGTGTGTGTGTGTGTGTGTGTGTGTGTGTGTGTGTGTGTAGAAGTTGATACATCAGTGTTAATTATGCCTCTCTTCTTGATGCTTTTATGTAATGTATAGGACAATGTGCGTCAATATCGAGAGTCACTATCTACTTATAATCTTCCAAGGCTTTTCCAGTGCCGAATAAGCAACACACCTTAACCTGGTAGAAATGTAGCACAACAGGCGGCGAAAACCAGCACAACTTTTTTTTTTTTTTTTTTGTCAGGACAGAACTATTAG